TCGCTTTTCAGAACGATGAGCTTTGTAAAAATCGACGCGTTTCAGAAAGGCGGGGCATAGAGGAGAAACAATAATGTACAGTATGTGGAAAATAATGCGTTTTTTTAAACTTTAAACCGCATAAACATTTCATTACACCAAATAATGTTATTTTTAGCAGCATCATATGACCCCTTTAAGACAGAACAGATTATGTTTGCGTGAATACTTAAATACTGTAATTGTGTGTATATTTAGCGGAGCAGAGAAAAGGTACTCCTCTCAGAAAATGTACAAATAAAGGTAATTAAATTCTGTACATATTTATCAGGATCGTGCTGTCGGAAGTGCCTTTATGCACACGCTTCGGATGACAGTCAGCTTGAGAAGCAAGTGGAGAAAAGGTACTCCTCTCAGAAAACGTACAAATAAAGGTAATTAAACCTCTAAAATTATTATTTGGAGCATTGGGATCGCTAGACGAGGGCTTAATTAACTCATTTTTGTGAAAACCTCAAAATCGACATTTTTAACTTGTTCTGCCTGTAGCTCAAAATTAGCCCGTGAGCATTGCCACTCATTTTTCCAGCACGGGTCACAGATCAACATTCACTGAACCAAAGTCTGGGTTGAGTGTGAATGATTCTGCCACTGTTTTCAGTGTGATGCAGCTCAGGGTGGATGTCAGAGCTCCTCACCCTCCAGCTGTGTTGCGATGTGACTGGCTGCTGAGAGTCCGCTGATACCACTGTCCCAGGACAAACCCGCTCGCAGCCTGGACTGAGCTCCACCTGTGCTTTCCACCTGAACAAAACAAAGACCATTAGAGACGGCCCAGGAAAACCTCAAACTCCTGAGGGACACAAAGGATTCATTAGTATTATTGTTAATGCCTTTACAGAAACACTGAATGGCCAATAATGTCGGACAAACATGCATTCACACATTTTCACGTAGTTGCCATGTTTTAATTCTAATTACTAGTTCTATCATAAAATAAGTTATATGTGACCCTGGAGCACAAAACCAGTCATAAGGATCATTTTTTCAAAATTGAGATTTATGTATCATCTGAAAGCTGAATAAATGCTTTCCATTGATGTATGGTTTGTTAGGATAGGACAATATTTGGCTGAGATACAACTATTTGAAAATCTGGAATCTGAGGGAGCAAAAAAATCTAAATATTGAGAAAATCATCTTTAAAGTTGTCCAAATGAAGTTCTTAGCAATGCATATTACCAATCAAATTAAGATTTGATATATTTACGGTAGGAAATTTACAAAATATCTTCATGGAACATGATCTTTACTTAATCACATCTGGATTATTGCAATGCTCTATTTCTTGGTCTGCCTAAAAAAATTGCAAGGTTATAGTATGTTCAGAACTCAGTAGCAAGAGTTCTCACCTCCACCAGGCGTTCTGCTCACATTACTCCTTTACTGCATGATCTTCACTGGCTACCTGTGGCATCACGTGTTCACTTTAAGATATTACTTCTAACGTTTAAGGCATTAAATGGTCTTGCGCCTCCATATCTGTCTGACCTACTGTACTCTTATTCTTCTGCCCGGTCTCTCAGATCATTTGAGCTTGGTCTTTTGTCCATTCCTCGTTTTCGGCTGTCCACTGTAGGGGGTAGGACATTTAGTGTTAATGCGCTGAAATTATTGAATTCGCTGCCCCTTACACTTCGTAATATACCATCTTTGTCTACATTCAACACTCAGCTAAAAACTTTTTTTAATATGTATTTTGGATAATATGGCTATATGTGGCCTTATGTGTTTGTATTGTGTATATGGGTGTGCAAATGTTTTGTTTAGCACTATGTAAAGTGACCTTGAGCTATGGAAAGGCACTATATAAATAAAACTTCTTCTTCTTCTTCTTCTT